AAAAAGATGGTAATATGATGGTGCCATATCTGGAGAATATATTGGGTGGGGGGAGAACTTCCCAACCCAACTCCATAATCTTTTGTTGTGTCAAATGTGCCATATGTGGATGTGCATAGACATGGAGAAGAAGAAGTTATTTGTGGATTGAGGAGTTTAAAATGAATTACTCCTTTGATGTCCCACCAAATGCAAAGCATCACTTTCTGCAGATGGAGTTGGAAGTGCTTTTTGTCTTGGACTGAGCCATTGTTTTTTACTTTTAATATTTGCATATAGAATCCATTTTCCATCATCGGTGACAATTCTGTCCAAAAGTGGTTCATGTGCATTACGCGCCAGAAGAGACGAAGCAACGTTCACATGTTGGAAATGATGATCATTGGAGAGTTTGTGAGGCACCCAAACACCTTCTTTATGGAGTTTTACAATATTACTTAGATGTTTACGTATTGTTTCACGAGAGACATTCAATTTCAGGGCCATTTCACAAATGTGTTGCCTTGGGTTAGACTCAGCAAGTTTCTTCAGAGCATCAATATCAATTCCAACATTTCGGCCCCTGCCATCACAGTTTTTGAGGTTAAAGTCACCTGAATGAAATTTGCTGAACCATTGTTGACACGTACAAATGTTCAAAACATTTCCATAAACTTCTTTGATATTTTTTGTGGCTACAGAGGCATTGTTTCCCTTATTGTATTAAGAAAAAGCATTACATGCCGAATCCATGTCTCGTCATGTGCCATCACTATAAGGGATTACAGTATACTAAACTTTACACATTATATAGGCTAAGGGGATGTACTGCACATGGAGGATGTGTTGCCTTCCTATTGATAGAGAGCTATTACTGCATGATGATTACATCATGTATTACTGCATTTCATGTTAAAACACTAGGCCTTCATGTCTGATGGGTGCCATCTCGCTAATGCTTGTAAACACCCATAAAATGGGTTTTATGATAATCCCTCATCAAATCCATCATGACAGTTACTGTTCACTCAATCAGCTGTTTGTTTACACAAAACAAGCTCACAGATAACTTCATGTGATGAACTACTTTAATTTTGTGCTTTACACAAGGCTGCAAGGACTGTTATATTAATCGTAGATCATCATAGTTCAGTTCTGATTTCACTTACAATTGCAAACATGTCTCAGTTTAGCCAGTGAAACTGTTTCGCTGTCACCATTTGGCAAATGAAAGTTTTGTGGACAAAATGGATTTTCTTCTTAAAGGACACCTTAGGAAGAGACATGTTATAAAAAATTTGGTGCAAACTTTTGCTAAATACAGTGAGAAAATTCGAGAAGAAAGGGTGCAGACAGGAACAGATGGACAAGTATACATATAGCATTGAATACATAACAAAATACACTGTTGCTCACCATTTGAATTAAAAAACATGCCAAATTGCTTGAGGTATGTATATACCCTCTTGTTTTTGTACTAATTACTCAAATTTTGACAATATCACTTTATTGTTTGTCATTATGCATACAGCCTGTATCATCAACTACCTACATTTTTACAATTAGTATACTGTAATATTACCTTTGATTCAAATAATTAAATAATTATTTAATTAAATAATAATTATTTGATTAAATAATTTTCAATTGTAAATATTAACAATGTTTTTATTAGAAATATATAGTATGTTGGATACAGGTCGGCAAGTGAGATCGTCATCTATGCAGCTTAGGCTATGTCTATTGATTTTGTATGCTTGATTTGCATTTCTAGCAAGAAATACAAACCACATTATGTGGTCACCATACAGCCGTGGTGCTTCTGAAGAGTTAACTGATTTTCAAGCTACTGAACTTTGATTTGGTTATTTGTTAACTTTGTGTCAAGTGAGCATATACTAAGGTAATAAGAAAACTGATTTTGTGGCCTTTATTATTTAAGTTCCAATTTGAACGTAATTAAATGTTTTTATTTTATGTATAGTATTATCAGTTCATTTATTTTTTTGTTATTTTTTATAAACTGCTAGGCATATATGTATGCTGTTTTTGGTAAATGTTTATCTTATCAATCCCTAGAATTACTTTTTACATAAATTCTACTGTCCATTTATTTTATTAATGCAAACTTTGATCTTTTTGTTAAATTGTTTTATTATAATGTGTGTTACACAAAATGCATATACTTATACATTTGTGCTTTTAAGGCTTTAAAAAGTTGCTTGAAGATGATTAGAAGACTTCCTGGCATCAGTAGTGCTGTTAGTGATGGACCTTCTGCTTCCAGCATTTCTCCTTAGCCTCATATAATGTAGCTCAGCGTGCACAAGCTTCTTAAAACAGCTCGCTTGCTGTGGGTGGACAGCCTCTGTTACCATTTAAAACTATAGTTAAAGTGCAAAAACTTAATGGAGTAAAACTTTCAAATTTTGATAATGCATATAGAGCAAAAGCATTTATTATTGTTATTGTAGAAACCATTTGTGAGAAAGTAAGAGTAATGTTATGTTCAGCAATAGCTTTTGCAGTGCTTTAGTGATGAAAGTCATGCAAGAAAAACTGGCTCTGAAAAAGAACTGATTTTCATTAGAATAGTCAAGCAAGGTATACCAGTTTATTTCTGGGTTGCATTATAGGACATTGATAACTTTAGTGATGCAAGTAAGTATATAAAGAAGAGCATAGATGATGTATTCAAAAGTAATTGAAAGGTTTCAATTCCTGTAGAGAAATACATTTACTTGCTAGCTTCAGGTACAGCTGATGGAGCCTCTGTTTCTAGGAATTCACTGTGTTTCTTAGAGTTGAATTATCATTTAAAGATGGTGTATCTAAATCATTTACTGATGTGACAGACTTCATGACAATGATATATGACTTATTCATATGGTCTGGAAACGTCAAAAGTCTCTTTGAGACAACTGCCAGTGCATTTGGTGTACAGCATTTTAATTTTTCCCAATGTGTTACATGATTTGTTGCACACAGAAGACATGGAGTAAATCATTTACTGAGCCCATAGTAAATGTGGCAGCAGGAAGAGAAGAGATGAATCTACAAAATTACTAAAACATTAGTGTTTTCTAGGGATATCCTGCCATGTTTCAGGAGACATAGCAGTCTGCATCATAGATTCCAATTCACATGAATCAAGACCTCCTCTGCAGACAATAGAGCCAGAAGCCATTGCAGGAATAGGCTGTTCAACCGTGGTAGGAATCACAACTGAAGTCTTTGTGGTGACACTGAATTGAGAATTCATGTTGTAGAAAATTGGTAAGAATAAAAACATTCCACAAAAACTAAGTGATCAAAAAAACAAGAAGACAACAAATTAAGTTGTCAAAGTCACAAAAGAATTGATAATGCACTAATAAAAAAAATTGTGCAAGAAAAAAACAGTGCAGCTATACCACATATAATTATGTGAGGGTAGGTGGAGGCATCAAGGAGGTAAGTATCTATCAAAATACATTTCGGTGTAGGAAAATGTTAACTTTCATGAACCCAAAGACAAAATAATAGAACCTAGAGACATAGATAACATCACTACATGAGAAATGATAAGAGCAATAAACAGGATAAAAATTTAACAGCAAATGGTTGAGAGGGGATTACTGCATAACTGCTAAAGACAGATATGTGACAAGACAATCTGTTGGCATTTCTGCCCTGCAAGCCCTGACAAATTCATATACCTGCAGTATTGTTATGTAACAGGTAACTATCCCTTATGGATTTGTAAAGTTTATAAACCTTTTCAGTAAGGATAAACTTTTTACTATACAATGTCAATAGTGTTTGATGAAGTCTACGACTGCCAGCAGATTTTCCTCATTGGGAAGTTTCCTTCAAAAGCTGTTAGCCTATGGGTAGCATACACAATTTAACGTTCCACTCCAACCTGCAAATATGATAATGTAACACTACCCCTATTATTCCACTGTTTCTGGCATCAATAAGCAAGAACTCACAGTCCACTCATGGATATGCTGGTGCTGGAGCTTTCACTAAAGTGTGCTTCAGAGTCAGAAATACTTAATCACACTTCTAGAAATCCACTTTGGCTTTAGTGAGAGCAGAAAATGATGCAGCAATCTTGGAGAAGCTGGCCACAAAATGTTGATGATAAACACAAAACCATGGAAACTGCAGGCTTCTCATTTGAGCACTGGATGAGACCAGTCCCATACCACTACAATCTTCATAGGGTCATTAGACTCCATCTCATAATATGAACAAGAAATTTTATATGCCATTCTTATAGGCTGAAGTACCATTCTCAGGTTTCCAGCAGTGATCTCAAACATGAGGTCAAACAGAAAGACATTGTCAACATAGACCAGACACTTGAATTGCGAGTATCTAGATGCCAGATTGAGAGTATTGAACCCTTTCAATGCATCCGCACATTCATTTTTCCAAGGCTGTAGAAAGACAATTACAAGGGTCACATGTTCACTAATCTAAAGTAATACAGAACCTTGGCATACCTATTTTGTTCCTGATAGTTACTTGTGGAGTCAACCATGCATTCTGTGAAGACTGTATGATCCTTTAACTTCTTCTGTATTTTGTCACTAACAACATTCCTAGTGTTTCAGTGCAGACTGCATGATGGGTGTTCAATCGAACATGTACCACTTATGTGAGTGATGACAGGTTACTTCGTGTGACCCAGTTGGTCAGCTGGTTCCACAAAAACATTGGCATTGTCAACTAACAGGTCACTGAGCTTCTTCCACTGTGTTGAATCAAGATAGTGTACACAATCCTCAACAAATGAGCTCAGTTATGTCAGCAATCTAGTATTTGCTTTAAGGTATTATGCAATGGGAATAACAATAGCAATTCTTCTAGCTTCATTTATTCCACTTCACTTATCGTGCTGATGACCATTCTAGAGGGAAGCTGGATAGCTGACTGCTCATAATTACAAAACAACACATGACTTCTTATCTCTGTAAACATATCACTGTATGAAGTAATACTTGCCGCTTTCTCAACAGGAAACAGTGCATTTCATGAATTGGTTCTATCAACGTGATGCATGCCACCAATACACCAGACATCGTCCATAATGAACCATGGAATATCACTCGTAATTCTCTCCATAACATACACTTGTGCAGTTTACTCTTCTTGGGAAAGGTCTGACCAACTTTAGATGTTTTTTCTGTGAATATGCAGCTCACCTGTTGTAAGGCAAACCAATACTTTCTGCAGTACATCTATCCCTGAGATCCCAATGCCAGACCCTAAGTAAGAGATGACTATCTTTATTCTTTGGCTAATTTTTCTAGATATATTTGGAAACTTATCTCTCCAGTCATGTCTAGTCAATCCCCATTTGCAACTTTAGAACTGGGCAATTTAAGCAATTAGTTGATATAATCAATTTTCTATGAACAGTGATTAAATTGATTAGTGTCTTGTAAACCTTATCCACTTTTATTTCTTTTAGAAATTAATGATTGTTACTTAATGTTGTTTAAGTAGGTGCAATTTTAGGGAGGGGCATTTTTGTTTGTTCAGAAATAAAAAAACGGATGGCTTGACACTATCAGATAAGATAAAGAAACATTGGAATTTGATACTTTAAAAGTTAATGTTTAACCATCAATAACTCGTGAAATATGGGGAAACAAATATTGCATATATAAATAATGATTCATAGAAACTTTTGTCTCTCATTGTTCAGTCCTACTGATGAGTTCTATTATTGAATGGAAACTTGTTGGGCAGTGACATGTGGGAGACAAGAATAGATCTGTAGTGCTATTTTTTTACACACCACTAGTTTTGAGCCACAACTGACAAATTAAGAGAAATGTGGAAAAAACATCTGCAGTTAACTTATTTTCTTAGGGATTTTAGTCATGCTGTTGGCCTTTTTCTTTTTTGCTTTTATATCTATGTGTGTATGTTGGGGGGGGATGGGTAATTGATTAGCAAACTTCACTAATTGCTTCTATCATCACCACGTGAGTGATCAGCTTTATGTAGTTTTTTCATATGAAATCATAAATTTTATTTCAAGTGTATGTAACTTGTGTTAACCTGTACATACTATTAAACCTGTAGCCCACCATTTCAACTTAAATTATGATACCCTTGAATATTTCAAAGCTGTAGTGTTAACTAACTCCCAACTAACAAACAAAACTTATAGCTTCTCCAAAATAAAATAATATTGGAACTTGGAAATGTCAAGCCAGTTGACATCACTGAGCACTTTACCTTTCTGTGGTTTTACCTTCCATACAGTAATGTACTATACAAAAGTTATATCTTAACAGCTTATGTTTGTACAGTAATTTTTTCAGTAAAATAGTCTCTTTATTGTATAGATTTATAAGTTCATTTTTGTAAGCTGTACTGAATTAGCTTTGATGGATAAACAGACATTTAACTTATCAAGTAACTTAATAGACTCCAAACTCTAAATATACATGATTAGTCACCTTTTCTTTGTATTCACATTCAATGCTCATATGAATATTTCTTTGACTAACACTCTGACTCTAACTGCTTACTAATATTCATAAATTGACTAAGTATAAACTGAAAAAATAAAACTGTTTCACATAAAAATAATTAAAATAAATTATCCAAAAGTTATATCTGTAAAGAAATCTGAAAATATAATAAAACTGTCTGAACAAAATATGCCAATGTGGAGCACTAAATAAAAATTAATAGTGTTGTAAGGTATGTTTTAATTTAGATGTTAGCTAGAGGGTGCATGAGGTTAAGATCTAGTAAATTCAATTAAGGTCTAGATGATACATTAATTGTTTTATTTATAGTTTATAAATGAAGTAAATGCTGGGCAAGTTATGAATATTATTAGCTGTGAAACTTAATAAAATACAGGGGGTTGTCACAGGG